CGCCAACAAATTCCCGCAAAGCTGCCTTTTTTAGTAATCGCTTGGTGAAAGTGTTAGCTAACTGCAGCGTGTAGCATACTCTCCTCTCATTGGTCAGTCAATGAAACCCTCGCTAACTGGTTGTACGCTAAGCGACAGCGACAAAAGTTGAACATTTTTCAACTTTCAAATATCGCGTCGCAAGCTTGCATGTGCACGTCTGCGTGTACGAGCGCGTAATTTCACATGCACTATTTTCGCCGGTCGCTTAGATGGAGGAGGGCAAGCGATTGTCGCCTCATCGCACAGGCTCCATAGGAAATGAATGGAGAGCGAGCAACATCGCCTCCCGTCTGTCGAGCCCTTTAAAATGAGGGGCAATTCAAATTGTGCCGGAGGAGGAAATGAACAATGGCTTTTACCCCCGTTACTTCCTCATTCCAAAGAAAGGAGGTTCACTATGTCCTATTCTGGATTTACGGTGCCTCAATTCACACCTGAGAAGATACAAGTTCAGAATGCTGACAACATTCTGTTTCATTCTATTCAAACTGGTGATGGGTTCACATCAATAGATTTACAGGATGCATATTTTAATATAAACATTTATCCAGCACACAGAAAATGTATCTGGTTTGCCTGGGTGCAGTCTACGAATACCAAACCCTTCCATTCGGGCTGTCCTTAGCTCGTAGGGTTTTCATCAAGTGTGTGGAGACAGTTCTGAACCTGGCTCGAGCAGCAGGTCTCAGACTGCTCGTTTGTTTAGATGATTTCCTGTTGTGCTCACCGAGCAGGGAGCAGGTGGAGAGGAATACACAGACTCTGTTGCACAGCTTGAGGAGCCTGGGTTTCAGCATAAACCAGGACAAGAGTGTTGGATCCAACCAAGGAGTTTATATAGAACAGCTGGAGTGCGCAGAAACCAGGTGACCGATTGGCTGGTGAAGCTAACGGCTAACGCAAAACGGTCAAGAGTCTGGATTTATCATTACTGTACATGTTGACAACAGAGCAGAAAAAAGGACTGACGATGTAAAAATCATAAAAACTATTAATAATAGTATTAACCTAATTATTATTTATATTTTACAGTTTATATAATCTATCTAATGTTTTAAATAATGTCGGAAAATATGTTTGTGTTATGGATTTATTAACAGAAGAGAAACAGGAAAACGTCTCATTTCACAACACAAGTCAGCAGATTTGATCTTATTTAGCTCAATGTGATCTGAGCAGAACATAATGTAACAGTTTAAAATTAAAATAATCTTATAAAGTCCATGTTATCACTGTTATTTATAACTGTTAGCAGATGTTAGCTTATGGAGCATAAATACAGAGTGTAGCTCTGCTGAATCATGCTACAATTTAACACAAACT